GCTTTCAAAGCTTTCACAGGTTTGAATGCCGCTGAAAGAAACTGCCGGCGCCAAACATCCATAATTGGGTCTTTCACTGCCAACCCCTCACTGTTATGCCATGAATCGCACTGGCACTGTTCACCTGTGCATCGCCTCAGGATAGGCAGCTTGCAAACCAAATGCTTGATTGGTGCAGCAACGAATTCTTCCCATTGGCCCGAAAACTCATCATGATAAACCATCACTTTGAGGGTGACAACTTCAAGGTTGTCAAGTTCAACTGCAGTGCTGGCAACATGCTTCTCAACAACCCCTTGACCAAGCTGGACCAACGTGGCTTCAACCAGGAGAGGCTCACGGTTTGCAACACACATGCAAGGGATCATGACTTTGGAGTGTGGCAGAGAAGTGGTAACTTCAGCATTCACAGGAGCGAAAACAGCAATGGCCAGTGGCTCACTAGACACCCGCTTTCCTGCGCGCAAATAGGGCATGGCTTCCTCAAGAGTGATCAATGCTACACCACAGGCAACTGGCCCCAACTGTTGAACAGCCAATTGGGAGATTGGTGAACCCTGGACACGAAATGTTCCATCCATCAAAGCCAATTTAGAAGGGTCAATCATGTCTGGAGAGGCAGGTTTCGTTTTCAGCGCAATCCCTTTCTGCTTTCTGCCTACTGGATTGCCTTTGTTGGCTTGCACAACTGCTTCCAATTCATCAGGGAGCAAAAATTGAAAGCGTACGTTGGATCCCAAGGCCTTGAGAGACCTCCATGCATTCTTGGATTTCAGTGCAGTTGAAACATTGTCACTCCCAATTGCTTTGACAGCTTGGTTAGCACGCTGCTCAACCTTGTCTTCCGGGACCCCATGTTTCAGCAATTCCGTTGCAAGGGTTTGAACAACCTGGGAAAACTGGCCTGCTCCCCACGCAACTGGGCAGATGCAACACGTCCCCTGGTGCAAGGCTTCTACGAACTCAGCTTTCAAAGAAACATGCAGTTCCTCAAGCTCACGGTAGTTTTGCGGCAATGGTGTACCAGCAAGAAGATGGCTGACAAAACCAATGGCAGATGCACCACACAGGCGGTGTGGTTCCAAGGCATTTGGCATCACATGCTCAACAGCAGCCTCAAATCCCAGTTCATCACGAAGAACACTCAAAACAGGCATGATTGTGTCCGTGGTGACAAGTTCATCAGCAATACGATGGGCAACAATAGTGCGACCATGGTAATTGAACCAAACCGGAAACCAATGTTCTTCTACAAGAAAAATGGCAACCACATGCAGACCACTCTTGAGAGCTCCTTTGTTTGCTCGACACCAGGTTTCACACATACCCTTGCCAATCATGTCCCACGTGGAAAGCAAAAGTGGGTCCATCATCACATACCCCCTTTCACTAGGCGTGTTCGGGGAGGGATTGGTCTCATGTCGCTTGAGAAGGTTGAGCAAATGAAATCTGATTTCATCATCACCCCATAGGCGCCCCTTTTCTCGCAGCAGATCCATTCTGGCTTCTTTTGTGATGCACTGATGAGAAAAACTGCTGGCCATGGCATCTGTATGCAGTGGTTGGTTTGAGGAGGAAGCCTGGTCACTTTCCTGCATGCCCGATGAACTGCGTGTTCTCTCCACATCACCAGTACCCCAAACCCATGGCCGAAAAGAGCTGAACGAGACAGAAATGGCATCTTCAAACTCCTTACGCAATCTTTCATGGATAACTCCCACTTCATCTTGGCTTGTGGGGAGCATGGTATCAAGCAGGGAGTGATTCAGAAACGCAACAGCCATGGCCCCACATTGGTCAGAAGAAAAGAACAAACGATGGTGGCGCACAAAAATCACTTGGTGGAACCCCAAGGCTTTGCCAATGGCTTCCATGGGTTGTTTCAGCATAGAGTGGTCCCTGTTTGGGTCATCCCATGTGGTAACATGAAGGTTGCCAGCAACTGGTGTAAGAACCAATGGAATCCAGTGGCCCTCAAGTGCACAACACGTGATGATCAGATGTTCGGCTTGCTTGATATCAGGAAATTGACTGCACCATGCACCACACTCTGCATGGCCATGGTGGACCCATCCTGTGATGAGCAACGGATCCAGCAGCACACATTTCTTGACCGGGGCAGCATGGAATTTCATCTGAAAATTCTCATAGGCCTTACACAGCTTGTCCAAATGAAACCGAAACTCATCATCAGACCACACACCTCGCTGATTCCTGAGAATGACAACACGATCTTCTGGTCTCAGCACCTGGTGTCGCAAAGCGGTCAAGTGGTCAACATTCTTGATGACCGGTACCTGGAGTCTCAGAAATTGGTCAGCCTGAAGAGCAAGTAATGGTGCAGCAGCCAACATGGAAAAGGACACTGACTCGGTAGGGTTCACAGCCTGGTCATTACGATCATATGCAACGGTGGCAGGCAAGGTTTCTTGCTTCGGAGCACAAACAGGCTGTGACCATTCAATGGTAGGTGAAACAGTCATTTTGGGTGGGTCTTTCACTGGTTGGTCTGACTCCCCAGGCAAGGCCATCGGTAGTATGGTTGCATTTCCTACACAAGGACCTACGCATGACCGGAACACATCATCAGGCAAAATCAATCCTTCACACTGAATGAAAATCAACTGGCCCAAGTCAATCACGTGGTTCAAAGGAATCTCAACCCCATAGAAATTGCAAACATGCTTGACTTCAAACTGACCAGCCAACTTAGTTTGGGCAATGATGACTTCTTGCACTGTGCACGGAGAATGCATCACGAATCGAATCGGAGCAGCGCGTTCATGTCTGAAAATCACTGCACACTCAAAGGGTGAAACATCTGGCAAATCATACTCCGCATGCTGGGGCACTTCAAGCCATGGGGTCGGCTCATCGGCAGCAACATCATTCATGATCGCATCAAAATCACCTGGCATGTACACCTGCTGAGGGATACTTTGATTACACTGGTGTTCTCGGATGATGAAATCAAGCACAGAAGCAATGCAGATCGGCTGACCTGCCAATGCTGGCCATCGGGGCGGGTGTAACAGCTCATGGATGGAGAGTTTCTCATACCCTTCCCAAAAGCACATCAAGGACCTAAGGTTAGGGTCATGAACTGGTTCATTGCAACATGGCCAGACCTGACGGCATCTCATCAAGGTCCATGAAACCAACGCTTGCAACATCGCACAGGCTGAGAAATTCGATTGCATTTGTTTCAGTGAATGGATCCGAGCAGCAAGGGTGGCAAAGATCCACGCTGTTTGCAACGGTGATGCCATTTGGCCTGATGCAGCTAACGTAAGCCTAGGATTGTGTCCAAAGTCAATGACAGGATCGAACCCATTAAGTGCATTACACTCACATGGATGCACATGGCGCAGTTTGCGCTCCCCAGTTGAAGCAGCAGAAAAAACCAGGAGTCCAAATAATCCCTTCTCTTGCAAACGAATCTGGGAGAGGCCACATGGTCTGCATCCGCATTCACAAGCCAAAACCTGACTCCCCCAAGCATGCAAAGCACATGGAGCACATCCTTCAAAGTTCAAAAGATACTTAAAGTAAGCCTCTGAATCCGCCCCAAAAGCAGTGACTTCCTCAGGTACCAATGCAAGAAGGTTCTCATCTGACTCATCACATGGAAGGATTCCCGGAATAATCTGGTTCACTTTTGAAATGGCATCTGACTTGGGCCATGGAACCAATGGAATCTGCCCAAGAAACGGGGAGGTCAGCAACCACCATGAGCGGGATCTGCGAGAAGGCCAAATATCACTGAGCTGGAGTTCCACTTGACTACATGAAAAACCCGTGACATCAACAAACTTCTGCAGCTCTTCCTTCACAAATTGGTTGGTCGAGGCAGGAGTCACGCACTCCAGGATAAGCACATGTGCCTGGACATAAAATGCTACCTGGAGAATACCCCTTAGTGACTGAGCTCTCGCATCCTGCCCTCCCTTTTGGTCGCCTAACCTCGAAAAAGGCTGGCACGCGAATCCAGCTGCTACAGTTCCAGCACCCTTGGCAAAATGCCACACTTTGCACACTGTGTCAAGGTCATTCACATCACCAACAATCGTAGGAACATTGCACTGTCGTTCATACAGTTGGCACATTTTCTCATTGAAATCCACAGCAAGAACTGGATGGAATCCACAGGCCGTGAGGCCCTGTGACATACCACCGAACCCTGCACACAACTCAATGACAGCATAAATCGAATCCCATGAAGGAGGCTCATGTCTGAAAATTCTCGAATCTTCATCCAGCACTACAACAGGAAAAGGATACTGCATTTTCATCGTGGCATGCATGAAGGTGTAGGAAGGTGAGGAGCCATCAATGAGTCCCACAACCAGAAAAGTCACCCCGTCTGAAGCCGATGTAAACAAATGAGCATCATGTGAGCTATCCCAGCACCTAAGGGTGCCCACAACATTCAGTCGTTCACCAGGCAATGTCTCCGCAAAGGTAGGAAAGAGATTTCCAGCCATCCATGTAAAACCCTACGGCCCACGCTTAGAAAGAACGGCCGCACCTCGGGAAGGATTTGGGCAGTCACGGCTGTTCCAAACCACCAACCAGAGAGTCAATAATCAACCATAGTCAATAGCAACTGTGGTCAATAATATAACCAATAATCTAACAGTAATGGGTAATAGTAAGCAACAGTCATCCATAATTGTCATGTGAATGATGGTTAATGAACAAAGTCAATAACCCAGATAGCCATAGTTGTAACCCAACTCAATAGTAAATGTATATACTGTATATATGTAATATACAATAACCATAGTCACTGGTAACCAGAGTCAATAATCAATAGGTATCCATAGTAACAAAAAGACTAATAGTATCTAATAGTCAATAGTCAATAGTTAATATAACCATTAACCATAGTCAATAACCCAAATAGCCATATAGTTACGTATAACAAAAAGACTGATTCAGTGGGAAAAATATCGCCTGTCTGGGAACTTCTTTCGACCATTTTCGGACGTCACGATCTCCTGGGTGTAGAGGAAATCCACACGAATCAACATCTCAATGGCTTTCAGCAGTCGAAGCTCCTGGGAGATCGGCCAGTGATTCATGATTTTCCCCATTCAAACGGCCCATGATTGGGGATATGCTATGGGCTATCCTCCAAGACAAAACCATACCTTCATCTGGGATGGCAAATAGATGACACCAGCTGACTGCTGTGGGGGGGTTCAAACCCTCACAAGGTTCAAACCCTCACAAGGTCAGTTGAACACAGTCTATATAGTTGATATGATAATAAATCCACGTATCATCAGCGGTTTGCCTTTGTTTTGCCATGAATCACCCGGTTCACACTGCTGTTCTGAGCGTATATTGTAACATCTAAAAATGTAGGTCAATATCTAATTTGAACGGTAATCATCATCTATACTGCGTAACTTATGGATAAACCCAATCGTGAGTCAATCCCGTAATGTTTTGATTGCTGTTCGCCACTTGGAGCATCATCCCACCTACCTGTTACCTGTAGCATGTGATTAGTAGCCGTTGTCAATACCGGGTTCTCCCATCCAAATTGATCAGACCCGTCACCTGAGTTCCTAAGCTCCTGTGGGCACCATTGTGTTTAACGGTGAATAATTATATTTTCTCACAAGTGTCCCCATGGAAAAAACTGCCACTTCATCCCCCTTAATTATGGATAATGAATGATAATGAATTATGGGAACTGAGGATTGCAGAATATCAGTGGATTATCCCCATTAACATCTATAATTATAGGCTTATGGATTATGGATGAATGATAGTGATGGGAACTTCCAATTAATTATCCCCATGAACTCTCCCCAACTGATAAAACTTACAGTAGTGATGTGGATTTCATCGGGAAGGTCCCATGGATGTCCCATTATGAATATGGATTAACATGGCTTAACTAACTATGTCATCCATGGTCCATGGATGGATATGTTACAAACCACTCATGATATGGATATGGATGTGGGTCAAAATGGAAGACCTAGGGGACCACAGATGTTAGTCTAGTTTAGTATTAGCCATCCATAATTTTGGGGTACCTAATTTTGACCCATACCCATATGTTTCCATGGTGCGAAATCCATCTCCGGGAAAGCTCCTGCGAGTCGTCCTGCACGTGGATCAAGGGCTCCCGCAGCGCGCTCCGCAGCAGCACAGCAACGGCCCCTGGGGAACCTGGAAAGCAACCGAGGGATACCCTGGCACTGAAACACCATCGTTCAAGTGAAACAAGTGGCAGGTTTAATGGGGGGAAAATAATGGAAAATATATGAAAATATGGGAAATTGTGGGGAAATATGATTCACATATGATTCACATATGATTAAACATCAAATGTTGGTTCACTTCACGGGTCGTAAGTGGTTAGATCTGGTTAGTAAGTCAGCCAGTAGCCAGTAATCAGGGTGGGATACTGGAAATTTTCGGACTCATGGATCATTACACGATTCATGGGATGATCCTCCAAGTAATTCAGCTGTAAAATGAGTCACTGGGATGTTCTGGCACAAACAAAAGCCTGTTATATAAGTTATATACGTTATATATGGATAACGCATGACCTCACTTAGGGCAGTAAAACCACACGGAGTAGTTAAAACTAAGTGATTGATATGGGATAACCCAACTTCGTACTTAGGGGACTTACATGGACTTACTGTCAGCAGGCTTATTAACTTTAGATACGATTCGTGGGATCCTCCAACTGGGGTGGTGGATTGCTCGATCCTTTGAGGATCCCACAAAGTTGATCTTGCTGAAGGTTTTCAGCTGAGGTCAGATGTGATCACATGCGGATTTCAACCATGTTCAACTCAGGAAAGATGCTCAAACGACTCCCTGTCGTTATTTGGAGATGTTTTCTGAAGCCTTTGGATCTTCAACTCGCCAGTTCAACTCGCTGTCGGGCCACTGAGTCCTGTAGCCAGCATCGTGTGGCCTGGCAGGTGTGTGTGTGTGTGTGTGTTATTCCAAAGCTTGGAATGAGCGCTCCTGCTTCTTTGATCATGATTGACAAGGACAACATAAAGGTTGGACATACTGGTAGGAGCCCTATGAAATAACCTCTGGTAATTCAACATAGCTATGGAAAATTGCATACAGTAGTTGATTTACCTATCAGACCCTTTAAAAGTGGTAATTTTCCATAGTTTTTTGTATCTTTACCAGAGGGTAGTCATAGAATTCTTGACGAAGTCCCTCAAGTTGGCCAAGGGACAAAGGCTCACAGCATCAGGCATGGGAAGCAAAGCTCCAGCTGCCTCCAAAGCAGGTCCAAATTCCCAAGCCACTTGGGAGGTTGCTCAGAATAAATCTGACCATTTTGTCCCATTGAATTTCACCAAGCTTGACATTGAACAAGGAATTTGGTTCCTGTCTAGACCTTCATCAAGCTTCAGCCTCGAACTGCGGAAAATCGCGTTCCTGGGAAGCTGAATGGATCGACTATCTGCCAAACTGGACGGTTTACCCATCTTAAGCCCAAGAAAAACAGCAACTTCAGCGGGGAAAATGAGGTTTCAAACATTTTTCAGATTGTTGCCATGAGAAACCACGTTTCACCTGAAAAAATCAGAATGAATTCGCTGCTGTGCTCCCGAACGATATGGGAGTAGATCAGTTTCAAGCGATCGGGCGATAAGCCCGTGCGATGGAAGCACAGTAGGACCTGGCCACCCCAGCTTTCGAATGCCGATCTAAATCAAAACCAGGATGCCCCCAAACCCCAACCGGGGCTATGAAGGGGAACTGGTATTTGTTGCTGTTATGATCTTTACTATGATCTATAGTATGATTCGTTATAATCATTTATAATCTATATCATAATCTACTATAAGACTATAAGCTATTATGATCCTATACAGATCTACAGTATAATTATATAGTACATATTGAATGTAAATGATCTGTTATGATCTATTCTGAGAGAATGGCAGCAGCAACACGTGCAAGCCTCTCGGAGCTCATGGGCTCGGTCTGAGATGGTCTCTCCATCTCTTAAAGTCTCGATGATTTTGGAATATTCCTGGCATCATGGGCCAAGATAAGATGGTCAAGTCAGTTCTGCCAATTTTGCAGCTCTGATCTGCTATGCTAGAAAAAAAAGAAACATCCAATTTGGATCAATTTGGAGGGTTGAGAACACGAAGTCTTGACCAGAAATTGGTTTGATGGCGAAAATGATGCAGGACGTCTGCGGAAGGGAACAATGATGATAAACCGTTCGGTTTTTTGGGGATCAGACCGCGACCAATACAGATCAAGATGAAGACCGACTTTCAGTGACTTTCAGGGAAATGGCGCGCGCCCCGTGAGCAGAAGTCGAGTCGTGGCTGGGTGGGGTATGAAATGGACAGGAAGCAAAGGTTGGAGCTGCAAACCCAGCAACCGATGACCACCATCCTTTCTGGCAGGATAGTGGTTAGATGTGGTTAGCATATGGTAGCATCCCAATTCGTGAAGAAATCTAACATATACGGTGAGTGCGTCCAAAACGCCGGGCTGATCCCATGAATTGAACTGCTAACATCTGCTAACCCCGAAGCCATCGATCTGACATCGCCTCCAAAAAGACCACCATGTGAATGGCGTAGGCGTAGGGTCGCCCGGGGATGGTGCCTAAATTCGCCTGGGCGGGGCGAATCTGAAGGGCCTGCTGAGGATCTTCTGGAATTCACAGTCGCAAATGGTCGAATTAGGAAAGGCTTAGGGTAGCGGCTTCTTCACAAGTGCGTTAAAATACGCGTTTGCCACATGATCGATTTGAAACATACAAATGTGTTTATGCCAATGCTATATACCCGTGATATATACCAATGATATATTATATATTATATACCAATCTAATGTCCATCCATGTTTAGAGGATTTCCCCGCGCAAATGCTGGTGACCAAATCCAAAGAATGACTTGGAAGAGCCCATAATAAACACCCATCCCATAGCATGGTCTCCGATCATTTGATCATTAAATGATCATTAGTTTGTCCAAAACATCGTGCATTTGGATCAATTTCCCTTTGATTCTAGATGATGTTATACCTATTTTCGGTGTTTTTTAGATGATTCTTATCCAAAATATTGTGCAGTTGGATAAATTTCCCATAGATTATAGATGATGTTATATCCAATGTTCGGTGCTTTTTAGATGATTTTTATCCAAAATATCGTGCAGTTGGATACATATCCCATTGATTATAGATGATGTTATATCCAATGTTCGGTGCTTTTTAGATGATTCTTATCCAAAATATCGTGCATTTGGATGAATTTCCCATTGATTCTAGATGATGTTATACCTATGTTCGGTGTTTTTTAGATGATTCTTATCCAAAATATCGTGCATTTGGATGAATTTCCCATTGATTCTAGATGATGTGTTCATCCAAAATATCGTGCATTTGGAATTTCCCATTGATTCTAGATGATGTTATACCTATGTTCGGTGTTTTTTAGATGATTCTTATCCAAAATATCGTGCATTTGGATGAATTTCCCATTGATTCTAGATGATGTTATACCTATGTTCGGTGTTTTTTAGATGATTTTTATCCAAAATATCGTGCATTTGGATGATTTTCCGAGTTCAAAAATTGGCCAAAGAGCCATGGCATCACCGAGTCCCCGGACCACCGCCCCCAGCAGCTCCAATCGCTCCACAATGTCGCCGTCGATCAGGTTGCGCTGTTCGGAAAGGCTGGGGTTTTGTGCACCAAACACGGCTGGATTTTTGTGGCTTCAAACGTTCAAAGATGTTCAAAGGACCGCAGTGAGTTCAAGTTCAAACCACCAAAAAATGTGACCAAAAACTGTTTTCTTTGACCATAGTGAGTGGAAACCGTAAGTTTTAAGAGTCCGTGGCTTCATCGGGATTACAAAAGGAGTTCAAATGGCGGTCCTCAGCTGTTCACCCAAATAAAGCTGGCTGATATTTGGATGTGTTTATGGTTCCCCAACATGGTAATAGTATTCATATGGATAAATATAGATATTAATATTTATATATAATTATAATTAATTATATATAATATGTGATTATACAATTTATATATGGACATATGACATATGTAATGACTGTAATGACTCCTGTAATAAACCCATCCCAAATCATCAAAAAAAACACCGATTTCCCAAAGGTTACCTGCAGGTCTGGTGAAGCATTGTTCAGGCGCACACTTTGGCGCGCCACAGCCTCGGCTCAGGGGAAAATGATACACAAAATCTGATACAAAAAGGTTCCAACAGCTCATCTTGCTCAGTGCATCTCAGATCATCTCAGTGCTTAGTGCATTTCTATGTGTGTGTGTCAAGCTCTGTACCAAAGAGTTCCTTACTTTTTTGCGGCTGATTTCAACCAACCAGTTTTTTAACTGTTTTCTTCCATAAATTATGGATACCGTTGCACCTTAATTCATAGCAGGGGGCACAAGGACCTTTGGTGAGTCTTGTGCCAATGAAGACACTCACCTCAGGTTGTGAAAACGTACCTGCATGATGCACCTGGATGACATACCCAATATGTTGGGGTCATAGCTGGTGGTCATATTCGTGTCCGTTAGTATTTTATGGGATCAGGCTAACCCAAGAACCTGCATGCCGTCATTCAGTCATTTCATGATCACGTTTGATTGAGCAATATTGGTTTTTCTTTTAAACAACCTGACATTCAAATGTCAACGGATAAGCTTGGCCTTTTTAACTCGGTATGGCCGAGTGATGCCTTCAACCTACCATGAGGTAATCAGACTTTGCATTCATGACAAGAAACTGTCTTTCATGACTTCGCAAGTGTGTATTTCGGCCGTGGGATCTGTCAAAGTCCGGTCGTGATCCTGGAATTCCAGGCGTCGTATCTCCCCTGGGAGTGCGAGAATCCACAAGTGAATTTGACTCTTGAATTCAGCCACGGTGGCTCATTGCAATGATTGAATGTGTGTCTCCGACACAAAGCGTGCATTTGAGAGAATAGATCCCGGTATGCTATCCGGCAAAAATAGCTTGAATTCACTGAGTTTGAACTTGAATTTGACCTTTGACAACTTTGGAGACTGATAGTCACCAATAAGATGAATTCTCTGAATTCCACACTTGAAGCCTCAGCATTGAATTCCAAATGGATGAATTGTGTTTGTACACATGAATGCCTTTTGGTGTACAGTTGAGTAAGCACTAATACGTCACCACTTGTTAGTTGTCTAACTGATTAATCCTTGTACAGTTAAAAAGTTGTCATATTAGACAACACATTTTCCATTTTCCTTTTTCTAGATTCCTGAGCCATGTCGACCCTGGTGTATAATGTTTACTTTGTGGCCGGCAACGTGGACCCAACTCCACCTCGGCCACCGAAAGCACCGGCGAAGCCAGCAGTAAGACTGGCATTGACACCACATACTACTTCAGCAATTCCGGTAGCAGCCCCAGCCGCAATTCCAGGAACGATCTCCGTACCTCGTCGACCGTCAACAATCCAACCTGCGGTGCCGGTTGGAACAGATGATGACAAACAGGAAAGACGTACAACATCAAGTTGCTCCAGATCCAGAACAAGACGTCGTCATCGAACATCCCATCACCGTCACCATCATCGTGATCACCATTCTCCAAGGTCCACTCCGAGATCTGAAAGAGGTAGGTCAGTTAGATCAGCTCGTTCTGTTTCTCAAGCTCTCGGTCCGCCACCAGGCCAATGGGACATTCATACTGGTCTTTGGGACCCGTATGTTGGAAACATTCCTCCCAGAGCGCATGTTCCTCCTCCCAGAGTTCCCGCTCCTCCTGCCTTGATGACTACAGGACCGTTTTCAGCCTTTCCTCTGTTAGATCGCTCAGGACGTCACGAAGTGACACCAACCAGAGACACTCAGATCAGTCAACCAGTCACTCCGAACCAGGCAAATATTCGATCCTGGTTAAAAAATCATCAAAATGATCACTACCCGATGATGGACAGTATGGTGAAATTCGTTGCACAAATTCTGGACTCCACCAGGTATACTCCTGATCATTTGTCCACAATGAAGTTGCTTGTTTATGACCCTCAAGATCATGAACATCATCCTACTGATTTGGACAAGAGTCATTATTACCTTATTAAAGGACATTTCTCTCAAAGAGAAATACCAGATCCAGTACGAGCTGCACCTGCGATGAACCTCCACGAAGTACAACATGTGAATTTGGTTCATGCTAGCAGTATTGGAGGCATCAAAGGTATTTTTTCTGATCAAAAGATCGGACCTAGCCGTTTGCACAACAGCCAATCTTGCTCATTTTTCAGTCTTGGATCTAAAAGAACCAACGACAGAGCTTGGGATGACAAAGAAATGGCCAGAATCACACATGCAGCATGGTATGCTGTGAAGAATACAAGTAACATTCTGGCAGTTGCGGTAGGATGGGGAACGGCTGAGGCCGTAAAGCAAGGGGGAGAATGGGAATGCGTACAGAAAACCATGCATGGCGGATGCGTCCACCATCAAAGAGGACGCATGTGGGTCACTAATGAAAACTCCCACGAACTCTCAGGTTTTGCATTCAGAGTGGCAGCTGAAAGCCCACTAGACTAATTCCCTACTCCGTTTTGACCCTTGCTGTTTTTCACCATTTGCTAATCTTTTGTCTGATTGGAATTTTGCTTCAATATGAACTGCCCGTCTCTCCATCAGACTTGTTACCGGTATGCTTAATTCATTTCCGTTGCATGCGCGATCGACATTTGCTGAGATGTCCAAAAAACAAACGCATGGACAACCCATGTATTCCGATTTGTGATTTAAACGTACATATTTTAATTCGATTGGAATTGTGATCCATTTTGTCCAACAAGAAGATACATCAGAATGCCACGTTCAATCAACGTGCCGCATCAAATTGCAGGTTTTTCAATTCTTTCTGTTATTTCTGTTATCGCTGCAGTTTTGGGTCCTTAGGCTTCCTGTTGACGTGTTAATTTCTCCGTTGTTAGCCATGTCGTACTGGAATAGGTCCCAATGGAATTCTTGGGACAATCAATGGCAGCAGCAGCAGTCTCCTCCACCTCCGCCTCCGTCTTCGAATCCGCCCGTGAGTTTACCATCAAACTGGCGCAGCACGAGTCAATGTTGGGATGATCAAGTTCAATATGGTTACCGTTTGTACAGATCAATTCAACCGACTGCATGGAGCCGCAAGAGGAATCTTGCTGGCCAAGATCCACTTTCCGTCCCGCTCAGTCATCTTACCCGGCATGGACCTGATGAAGCAGCGCTTCGAGCGCTCAGTGAGGGCAGATTTGTTGGAATCATTTGTGCGAAATCTGTTGCTGAATCTGTGTTTGGTTCCCAAATTTTGAAGACATTCCGCGATCAAGGAATCGATATCGATGCTACGGCTGAAAGCCTCCATCGCCAGTTGGCCCCTCAGCAGGGCATTCCCAATCGCACGGACAAACCTATTGAGTTTATGGCACCTTTGGTTCAATTCATAGCCGATAAACTCAAGGCTCAGTGTCCTGTAAAACAGGATGCCGAAGCCATGCGAAGGCTCCAGGAGACCGAAGCGAAGCTTCAAGCTGCCAAGTCCAAGCTTGCGCAAGCAGGCATTCCGGATACACCCCAGAGATCACGGCGTACCACCGGCACTTTTGCCCCTGATCCCAAATTGCCAACTGATGATCTTGATGGTCCTGGTTCTACTGGTTCTGTTGTTCCTGATTCTCCTGCTGTTGTTTCTACCTCTCATAGAAAGAGACCCAGCGAGGCATTAGGGGCTTCTCCGAAAGCGCTGCCAAAGCAAAGAAAGCTGGCACCTATGTTCCACAAGGCAGCGGCGTCGCCAAAAGATGTGACCTCTGCCACGCAATCTCCGACAGAAATCACAATTCAGGAGATTTTGGAGCCAAAGGCGCCAAATCTCAGAGAGAATCAGCTTTCCGGAACCACCGCAGCCAATGTAAAGAAGTGGACCCAGAATTTCAACCTGGAAACCCAGCAGATGTCCAAGAAAATCATGGATATCATAAAGGCTGCTAAATGCACCAAGGAACAGTTGCAACAGGCCAGCACTCAATATGGCCTTAATTTAAGTGACGTCCTCAAGCTCAGCATCACAAGTCTCCAACAGGCAGTTGCCGTTGGAGCAGCTCTTACAGCTTGACTAGCTATGGATGTTTCCAAACATCGGCCGAAAGCCGTTCTGGATTACATCACAGTTTTGAGATCCGTATTTATTAAGATCGTGCACTTTGTTCCCGCTGTCAACAAGTCTTGTGCAATTTGGGCCCTGGGTTTGCTTCATCTCATTTGTCTTTTCCATTTTGGATCACGCACGTATCATACCGAGGTTTGGCAGCGAAGACTGCAGAACCTTGGTATTAATCCAGAGAGTTACACTTTTGTATTCTTTCAATGTACAGCTGTCACCTATCTTAAAATGCAGTTTAACCTTCCCAACTCCACTTCACTTTCGTACAAACAAGCTGGTAGATTTTATATCGGCTCCACATCCATTGGAATGGCCAAGCGGGAATTTAATAGAATGGCCAAGTACAGACTGGCCAAAGATGGTACTCCTGTTCATGTTGAACTTGCTGTCAAGTACTGGTCTCGACGTTCTGATTTTTCTAATTTTACTGCAATTCCAATTGCTTCTTTTTCTACATATCAAGAAGCCTGGATTTTTGAACATTTACTGATTTCAAGATGGCAACCACCGTTGAACCATCCATTCATTACCAAAATCTTGACGCTGAAAGCATCAGGATGGTTGGTTCAGTACAAGAAACATTCTGACTTTTCCATCTATTCCAGAGGGAAACAGATTGTTTCAAAGACTACGCAGAAGACTCACCACCAAAGGTGTTCCTCCCTCCATTCACTGCAAACAAGCTCAAGCTTGGAACATTCTTTTTGAGCTCACAAGTCCTGGCCGCCTCTCTTTTGACACGGCGAGAACCCTCAGGTCTGGGAAATTTGATGATTGGGAAATCTATGTGTTGTACCGACTTTGCAATCATTTAGAACAGCCAGCGCGTGGTAGAGCCAGAAAACTTCTTGCATCAGCCATGAAGTTCAGAAATATGACGATACCAAAACTGAATCGTCCAGCGACCATGCCATTTTTGGCACACTCCGATTTTTCAGCACAAGTTTCAAGATTTTTACGTAATCATGTCTTGAAGTACAAGGAAATTGCAATTCCGTTGCATCTTCCAACCTCAAAACTGAGGGAAGCTGCAGCACAGACACTTTCAGGTTTTCTACACAATTACAAGAAGTATGAGCACAAGCACCCTGTACAGGATCCGACCCAGTTGACATGTTCGTGCTCTCAATTGATTGCCAAAATCAAACATTTTGATCCTTCAATTCATTGTTTTGGTGTCCATCAACATGTTGCAGTTGGTATCCATGAGTTGAAGTTGCCCTCCAAGCTGCGCATCTTTGAGACTGCCAACGCCTCCTCTACGTTCTTTCCCGGCTTCGCACAATTTCAGAAGATTTGGCATGAACAATTGCAGTACTGGACTAAATTTCATGGTTGTCCTCCGTTTTCTCATGGAGATCTCCAAGCCGAACTTCTTCGACAATGGACCGCTCACACCAAGGAGTTGCATAATAATCCCAGATTTTCCTTCCAGAACATCAAGCACCTCCTTCAATGGTTACCACCCAATGTGGTGATTCATCATGCTGATCATGAAATTCATCGCATCACCCTGTTTTGTCCTTCCTTCTATTTTGAGTCTGCTTGCAGAACGTGGGATGATCCTGAATTGTTTTCCCGTTTTCCTGGAAATGAAGAAGATGCTCAAAAGCTCATTGCTACTGCTTTGACACCGTCCTTGCAGAACAGATATAGATGGGGGATTAACACATCCTCGACACTGCCTTACGGCTTTGTACATCTGAAACGAAAGAAGATGTTCAACAAAGGACGTACACTGATTTCGTATTTTGGTTCACGCTATGGCAAGCTCATGCAGGCCACCGCCAGAACTCTTGATACGATGTGCGTGATGCTTTGGCCGCAAGAAGCCGGTCAACTTTCTGTTCCTGAAATTTGGAAACATATCCATCAACAGTTTTTTCAAACTGATGACGATATTCAATTTGCTGCCATCAATGATGATCTTGTTGGATTTTTCAACAGTGTCCCTCAATCACGTTTACTTGATGCGATTCAACAATTGACCACGGAATGGGTCAATCAACATGGTGAAACACAAGTTTCGGTAAACATGGCTCTGAAAGGGCCAGTTGTCCATACTTCATTTGTGGGACAATGCAAGAAGACATCGTCGAATATCAAGACCGTTCGAGTCCAAGATATTTTGACAATTGTCCAGGCTTCTTTAAGCACCCACGTGTTTAAAGCTGTCAACCAAATTTGGGTACAGCATCGTGGAGCAGGGATTGGATCACACATCTCTCCCTCTCTCAGTAATTTGGCTGTGACGCTCATAGAGCGCAGCTGGAGAAATGCGTATTTAACTTTTGTTCAATCCAGCCAACTCCAGCTTCTGTTCACAAGATATGTTGACAACAGATTCATTTTGTTTGACCACCGTTTTCGCTCCGCACTGCCCATGCGAGTGCTTTCCGATTGTTTCTTTTATCAAGCGCCGGTGGAGTTGGAAACCGTCCAAGATGGTACACTCCTTGGGTTCACCATTGACGTAGTGCAACGAACCGTAAGGTACCAAGTACCTCCACTATGGAAAATTCGTGATCTCCATTCTGCTGGCAGCATGCGTCTCCGCTTGTCCGGACTAAAGTCCCGCGCAACCTTAATTCGCAGATACACGTTTCCCAAAGAATTTGTCCGTGATGATCTCAACCAACTCATTCAGCTGTATGTACAGAAAGGGTTCTCCAAAACAGACTGCCAACGCGTCCTGTACAGAAGGCAGTTCAAGCATACCTAACCTTTTGGCTGTGGCAAAAATATTTACTGACACGCTGATCAGGTTGCAAATGTTCCTCTGCGGTTTTTTCACAAATCTCTTGATGATGTCTTCCATTCTCGCCTTTAAAGGAATACAAGCCCGGCTACGTGCCTTTTTGTGTGTGTCAAGCTCTGTACCAAAGAGTTCCTTACTTTTTTGCGGCTGATTTCAACCAACCAGTTTTTTAACTGCTTTCTTCCATAAATTATGGATACCGTTGCACCTTAATTCATAGCGGGGGGCACAAGGACCTTTGGTGAGTCTTGTGCCAATGAAGACACTCACCTCAGGTTGTGAAAACGTACCTGCATGATGCACCTGGATGACATACCCAATATGTTGGGGTCATAGCTGGTGGTCATATTCGTATCCGTTAGTATTTATGGGATCAGGCTAACCCAAGAACCTGCATGCCGTCATTCAGTCATTTCATGATCACGTCTGATTGAGCAATATTGGTTTTTCTTTTAAACAACCTGACATTCAAATGTCAACGGATAAGCTTGGCCTTTTTAACTCGGTATGGCCGAGTGATGCCTTCAACCTACCATGAGGTAATCAGACTTTGCATTCATGACAAGAAACTGTCTTTCATGACTTCGCAAGTGTGTTACTTTAATTGAAAGCTGTGAAAGTCTTGAAGTCTCAGTACCCCTGGGCTCTCGCCTCTTCATCTGGTGGATCTCGTTTGAGCTCCTGGGCTGTGACCAAAGGAAGTCCACCCTGTCAGCTCAAGAATATCCCTGTTCTCACTGGCTTGATTCAACCAATACTCCAATTGCAGTACATGAAACAAAGGTTTTTCCGGAGGTTTTCCATCATTTTCCATCCAAATCTACGGGTTTCCCGTAAGATTTCCCTCCAGCAGCTCCTTCACAAACTCCAGCACTTCAGCGCGCGACAGCACGCCACGCGCGGCATCTGCTGAAGTGCTGGCACCGGCAGCATCGGTGGTGTTGGTGGCCTTCGTTGGTTTTCAAGGGATTCAGGGTCTGAGACAGGTGGGATTATGGCCTGAAAACCATAGAGTCACCACAGAAATCCTCATCATCTTGAAGACGTTTGTGTATATGATGATTATTGATTTTTAATTTATAATGATTTAAATGATTTTAAATGTATGTACATTACATATCTACGGCAAATTTTGAGGGATGTCTATGTCACGGTGGTTTCTGAAGACAATGCCTAGCATGCTGATAACTATTCGTTTGTGTTTGCAAAGTATGACTTAGTTGCTTTCCATCTGTTTCAATAGTGTGCAGTTGAACTAAAAAATATTTGGCTAGTCAGTTACACATAGTTACACTACAGAAAAACATTCATCTCAGGCTTGGAGCATCTTCTCTTCCATTGGCAATGCTAGTTGTGTTTCTTCGACCATTAAGGACGATACTGGGACCAAGGCGGTCAAGACATGGGATCCTTACCCGCCAGCTTCACGGATTTGATCGACTCATCTCGGCCAGCTCCGCGAAAAATTGATAAAGCCGACACGTGGAGCATAAAGTGAAGCATAAAGTGGAGCCTAAAGTTCCAAGTCTGAGTCTGAATTGTACTCAAATAAATGTTCATCGACAGATCCCCAGGAAACGACGGATCCATCGAACAGGATTGCAGCAAATTTGGACTCTGTTGCTTGAATCTGGTGCACATTCTTGAGCTGCTCTTGCACTTGGGAGCTGTCACCACCAAAATCTGGATCGCCCCAGGTAACTACTGAGCCATCTGCCAGGACAGCAGCAAACGCATGCCATGTAGACTGAATCTTCTGCACACTCCTGAGCTGATTTCGGACTGCAGAGCTGTCACCACCATGTCGTGGATTGCCCCAGGTAACAACTGAGCCATCTCCCAGGATCGCAGCAAATGCGGAATCTGTTGCTCCAATCTCCTGCACGCTCCTGAGCTGATCTCGGACTTCTGAGCTATCACCACCCTCATGTGGATTGCCCCATGTCACGACAGATCCATCTGACAGGATCGCAGCAAATGCAGACTGTCCTCCCTGAATTTGCCGTACACTCCTCAGCTGATGCTGAACCCGAGAGCTATCTCCGCCACACTCTGGACGACCCCAAGTCACAACTGAGCCGTCTTCAAGGATTGCAGCAAACGCAAACCATGCGGCCTGAACCTGCTTCACCCTCCTTAGCTGATCGTGGATCTCGGAGCTGTCACCACCATCATCTGGATCACCCCATGTCACGACTGAGCTATCTGCCAGGATTGCAGCAAATGCCGTGGCTGCGGCCACAATTTGCCGCACGTTCCTAAGCTGCCCTTGGACTCCAGCGGCGTCACCGCCATATCCTGGGTGGCCCCAAGCAACAACTGATTCATCTGCCAGGATGGCAGCAAATGCGTCAGCTGTGGCATGCACCTGTTGTACATTCCTGAGCTGATGCTGGACCTCAGAACTATCGCCTCCACAGACTGGGTCGCCCCATGTAACGACGGACCCATCGGCCAGGATCGCAGCAAATGCACAAAATGTGGCTTGAACTTGCTGCACTGGCACACTCTTGAGCTTCTCCTGGACTGCAGAGCTATCAGCGCCCCAATCATCCCTAGCCCTATCCGGATCACCCCAGGTAAGAATCCCATTGTCTCCCGGGCACCACAGGGCAAAAACTTTTTTTGTTGCACTTAGTTTTGGAAGCTGCGCAATCACAGTGAGGTGATCTCCATCTTGAAGCCCTGCACTTTCCAGGGATTTGGTGAGATCAGACAAGGCCTGGCCACTTGCAGTAACAAGTCTAAGGAATCCTTTCCCAAAAAAATCCTGGGCCAAAATTCTCAAGTCCTCTACTTTGGAGGACTGCGCAATGGAAAGGCGTTTCCTCTTCCCACTTGGCAAAGCTACATCAACTTGAAGCATCAGGGAAAACTACCCACTCAAACTGTAAGCCCAATACAACTTGAGCTGTGAGATGCTCCAAAACACCTTGAGCCGAAATCACTCAGAGATGGTACTTCCTATGTGTCCACCTTCGGACAGCCTTTGGATGGTCAGCAATCATCTGTAGACAACGAGGGACAGTACCGCAATTGCTGGCCGTTTCAGGGCAAAAGAAATTAATCAAGTCTCTGATACAGGATGATTTTTAACGTGATGTCCAGCGTTCGATGTTTAATCATGGTGTCCTGAATCCACTGCCGTATCATGGTCAATCATCATTTTCCCTAAACAAATGTCCATCTTGAGGGGTATCCCATGGTATCCCGGTATCCATGATTGGTCTTCCGCGCAGGCGTTGCCTCTGTCCGGAGCTGAAAAACACTCCCACCTGGCATGGGTTGCAGCGAACCGGGACCCCACTAGAAGGATGCATTAGTCAAACGAATAAAGGAAGTGTGTAGACTTAGGATTACTCAGGTATGTCGGGCGAAATTTGTTGAGCTATCAGTCCTGCAATTTGGCCGATGATGTGCTATGACCCCCCAATCTGGAGGGAAAAAAGGGACCATGGCCATGGCTAAGAATGATTGAACCCCAACTTGGATGGCTTGAAACTCAAAAAATGACATACGCCACTTATGGGTCCACCATTTCCCACATATTGTTGAGCTTTGATTGAAGAAGGGAAAGAAAAGAAAGTGAAACCCTGACTTGGATCCATAAAGGGTGTAGTTGATTCAATAAAGATGTCATTTTGGACCTATTTTTCCTCCCAACTTTCTTGAAAATCCAGCCATTAGTTGATGCTTCAACGTCATCAACCCCCATGATCCTGACGCCTGGCCGAAACAGGCTTGGTGGACGCCTCAACAGCGGGGTTGGCACCGGAAAAGCACAGCAGAGATCCAATAAGATGACTTCTGGTCAGCGGCTAGCCTAGTCATAGACTAAGTTACTCTGCATCTATATATACAGAAGGGGGTGCGAGTCAATCCGCACGCTCTACAGGACGAAACCCTGCAGAGGCAACCCCAGGATACTAATGATACAGTTCACCGTGCCCAATGGAACCTGTGCGGACAAGCCGAATCATGCAGACTTCTAGAAGTAGCACGCTAATTTCTCAATGATATACTAAAATAATTATAGCAGAATGTATTGAAACCATCTACAAGCAAATCAAAGGGTCCATGCGGCAGATTAACTACACAACTTCGACATGTGGCAAAAATCTTTGGGAAATCAATGGAAATCATACCCTGGTCATTTGGAAGTTCGGTCCAAATGGTTCAAAACTGGATACCACTAAAAGGTTGGGAGCTTCATCCAGCCACCACCACAGTCCGAGGCCTCAGCCGAACTCTTCCCTGGCAACCAATGATTGACCATGTAAATCCATGGTAAATTTGTGCATAATTGTGCTCAAAAAACCATTCGGAAACATTCGCCATAGTTTTTTTATTCAAGTTTCATAGCAATTGATCTCACATGAAGGAATTGCGGATTGTTGGGACTTGGTTTTTCGAATGCAAATTGACATGTAAATGCAAAGTCACGAGGGCCAATTACCATAAAACCAACACTGTACAAGCAAAGCATCAAAAAGCAAGGATCACCGTGCACCATCTTTGAAACGGCAGCGCAAGTCGGCCCCGGAGAGACATGCGGCATACAATGATACAATGTCTCATAAGTTCATGCTGTGGTGGCGAACCAAGATGGGTGAAACCATCGTCTGGTAAACATCGCAAAGCAAATGGTTGGAGATTGTCTGTTTTGAGCTGTCGCTTGAGGCCTCTCTTGCAACTTCAACAACCGAGAACGGTTGGGGTCAGGGGTACAAATATTGAAGTTGCGGACATCCGAATCTTGGATTTGGACTCTAATCCACTCTGTCCTGAACCAAAAGCTCCGTGATTTTGTTGCCCGTCCTGCCCCCGGCCCAATCAATGAATGCTACGACCAATTAGAAAATGCCAAGTCTCCACAGCCAGAGGTCGTCATCCAACGCAGCATCAGCATCTTTTGCAGCCCAGCGCTATTCTGAAAGAATCCAAAGTACATGCAGCAGAATCATAGGCACAAAATGATGTGTAACTGCCTTGGACAGCGCACAGCGTCGATCCAATCCATTCCATGTCACTGTGGGAGGCACTTGCAATCAGCCGAACAAGCTCCTCGCAAGCAGAAAAACCATCCACAGAATCACAGAATCCGCGGATTAGGCACCTGATAATTCAGGTCTGATGGAAGAACTCACGGAGAACAAAGCTGAAACCAGTTCTTCGCCATTCGCCTCAACCTTTTCTTTGAACGGGAACCATTTTGCGAAGTCTGACTCTTGAGTTGATGTCTCCACAGGGTGCACAACTCGCAAGAACGGTGGTCAGACTTCTGACACCCCACATTTTTTCGCCAGGAGTTTGTGATTCGGAGTCTGTGGAATTTTAATTGGATGTGATAAAAAGAGACACCCATTTAGATTCCCATCTGTATACTTTGTATTCATATCTTGGATATTGGAAAAAATAAAACATTAGCATCACCTTAAGCAACACATTCGTCAGCGGTCCTGGCGCATCCAGCTGGGCTTCAGGCTCGCCAGCTGGGCTGCAGTGATTTTGCCGGAAAAATGTGGGAAATTGTCTGGCAAAAAATGCGAAATGTTATGGAAAAAGTTGGACATGTATGGAAAAAATATGGGCGAAATTTAAGAATTGGGATAACCTCAGCAGTGGATGGGTGAATACTTGTGAAACATGACCCATAGTTTGTGATGGCTGGTGATTTTGTAGCGGTGGCAAAGACGTGATGCCTCAATGCAAAACTTCGCATAGAGGTTTCCATAAATGTGGGTACCCCAAAATGAATGATTTATAGTGGAAAATCCAATGAAAATTGATGATTTGGGGTTACCCATGGTTACCCCCACTTTAGGAAAACCCCATATATAGTCTATGGGGTCCTTCAATCCAAAATGACATGTTGAACTCTTGGCTTCTACAGCACCTTGCACTTAGCCTCTGCAGGATGTCCACCTCCAAAGTGTTCATGTTTCAACCAAGGATACGGTGCTTCTTGTCCCATACCCAAATAATTAATCCCAAATGTAACAAACCTCGAAAATTGCCAGAAATGAGTGTCTGAAATTTGGGTACACCCCTCCAAATCGGCAATTTTTTTTGGTGCCACTGAAGCCAGGCCACTCCCTGGCTCAGCTGGAAGCGAAAGATCTCTTCGTCCGTGAATAACTGTGGTTGGCTCCAAGCCTTTGGGCTGCTGCCCTGCCACAGTGCAGATGGGCTCAGCAACCGGGGATATCAATATCAACATATCAATCATCAAAATTGGGAGTTGACCAGTGTTTCCAATGCTTCCACGTAAGACTCCAACAGAGAGATACTTAACACCAACAAAAAGGTTATTGAGAAACGACAGTCGTGGTTAAGACGCCCTGTGCTTCCAGCTGTTTCCAGCAGCCAATCTTCACGACTAAAACCTGTATTTGTCTACTATTGTATGCTTATGCGTTCCGCCTGTTTCTTCGTCTTCATCTGGTCTTTCTTGGTTTCTTCTTTCTGTTCTGTTTCTGCCTTCCCTATCCTGCTGCATCTTC